GGACATCGAAAGAGGATAGATTTGAATGAACGCGGGAAACGAGAATGATTAATAATGATTATATATTGATAGGGGTTTCTGTTTCAAAGGAAAAAGAACGATAAAATCGATCTATTTTGGGACAGGAGAAGCGATTTATGTATTTATTTATTTATTTATTTATTTATTTATTTATTGACAGGTCAGTATATACATTTGTAAGATAATTGTAATAATGATAAATAATGATAATAATACATTTGTATGTTCATATTAAAGGCACGCCAAAATCATTATGCCAAATCGGCTGAACAATTGATATTATTATCAATTAAAGCAGATGCCAGGCAAACGATGTTAATCAAGGTATCTCTCGGTTGTATTTGCGTCATCCAGGAGCATTATATGCAAGTGCAGGAGAATACGTCGTATTCGATATGCAAATGTTGCATTTTTTACGCGCCACGGATGGAAATGAATACATATGATAACTACGCATCGAAAACATAATTTTAAGAAAACCAGAAGGACAAGACTTCGATTCTGATTAACTTAATCGACATTGTTTAATTAATATTCGTTTCTATCAATTTAAATTAACTTTACTCTTTAACTTTTGGTTTTTTTCTAATTTTAAGAATTGGAAAAGGATGAAAAGTAAATTAAACCAAGATTAATGTTAACATTAGTAGAAATGGACAAATAAGTAATATGAATAAAACTCCAAACAGCTCAATTACCTCGCAGATGTCCCTATGTTTTCTGAATTAACATCCAAGAATATTTCCAAGATATTTCTTAAATAATGAATAAAGTGAGCTGTATAAGACTATTAAATTAATTAATAGAATTATATTTAATATGTAACAAAAAGATTAAGAAAAACAAATTGTTTATTAGAGTATTTGGTTTAAACAATCCCATTGGCCCATTTCTACTAATGTATAGATTTAACTTTAATTTAATCTCAAGTTAATTTACCCTTCATCTTTTCCTAATTCTTAGACCCGGTCCCACCAATGTAAAATTAACTTTATATATAATCTCGATTCAACTTACTCTTTATCTTTCAATTCTAAGAATTAGAAAAAGATAAAGAACAAATTGAATCGAGATAAGTTAATCTACATTGATAACAACGGGCATTAGAAGTAGAAAAAAATGAAAAGTTAATTTAAATCAAGATTGAAGTTAATTTATGTTGGTTTATAGAAATGGATATCTATTTGCTAATCAAGAATTACAATTATCGATTAAGTGAACTAGAATTTGTTCGAAGTCGCCCCAAAGATCTCCTTCAAAATAAGAGTAAAAATATAAAAATTTTTTTAGAAATTTTCAAACTTTGTCTTCTATTCTTACAATTTATATAAATTAGCAAAACCTGAGCTTGATGCAGATGCAGACAATGCAGTTTCCAGTAAACACCAACTAAAAGTAGACGTAATAACATCAATGTTATAATTTCACATACAATGTAATTGTTATGTATATAAAATAGATGACGTATTATATTTATATTAAGTGTGAAAAATTATAACACTATAATGTTATGTCACTTTTAATTGCTGCTGTTTATTGGTGTTAACGTACCGCAATATTTTACTCAAATCTAATATATTTAATATTTCAGGTATTATGAGAACTGTTATTTTTACCTGTTTGGCTCGCGCGACTTAATTAAGCCTCTCAAGTTTCATCTTTACTCTTTTGCCCTTCATGTTCATTTTCATAAATGTAAATTAACTTTAATTTCAACATATTCTTCATCCTTTTCCTAGTTCTAAAAATTCGAAAAAAAGATGACGAATAAGTTATGAACCGAAATTAAAGTTAATCTAGGTAGAAACGACATTATAACAGTACAATTTACAAGCTTTATTTTAAGCGCCGTAAGTATAACAATAGGATGAGTCTTATTCTGTTTTTATCTCTTATATAATTGCAGTTTCATTAAAGGAGGTGAGTCGATTTAATCTCGATACATAAACGCGCATTGATGCTTCATGCTGCGTCCCGCTTCCGTAGTACTCCACGTCAGCTGATTCTTCATGCGGCGGCTATCACGGGCGGTAAATGTGCGCATTTCTGTAGTCCTCGAACAACCGTTGCGACGTGCGTATGCGCGACACGCATCATCAGTCTTTCCTCTGTGACTCGGTATTCCGTATCGCGACGTCGCTGTCTCTATAAGACTCTCAGCTACGAATATGTGAAATGTTCTTGATGCCGCCGTTTAACGCGTGCTCTTTTCTTGCATGACGTATCTCACGGTGAGTAATTTATATATCAGCCGTTTGTCACGGTGGGACGAGATGTAAAATTTATTTCGAGATGATGTCATATCATAAATGCGAAAATAAATCGAGAGCTCTTAAGAGTATCTCCAATTGTTTTGTAAATTTCAAACGTTCAAGATTTTTCTTTTAAAAATCGAGAAATGAAAAGAAATAAAATAATGTGTGTAGGATAATAGAAAAAATCATTGTATTTCTGTTTTTTTTTTTTTTTTTTTCGGAATTAATCTTTCGCTTTAAACTGTTACAAATTGCGTTATATTTCGCTTCCCGTTTAATCACAGTTCGTTTTTTAAGTTAAAATTATATAATATTCAATGATTTTTAGACAGTATAATGTTAGTCATTTTTTTATCAGTTTGAAATATTGTAGCCGCAACTTTGCTTTCGTGTTGTGAATTAATGTTATTATTAAATGAAATCGCGCGATACGTGAATGACTTAAAGGAGGAAATTATTTCCAAATTTGAATAAATGTAACTGAATAATACAAAAATCTTTAAATGCGTCAAGTCAAGAAAAGGTACAATTAGGCTAGGCCGTTCCCTTCTTGTGTAATCTATTCTTTAATCTATTCTTTAATTATCTTATCTCTTTATCTTTGATGATTCTCAACGCCTTACTGTAAGTTTAAACGTTCACGTGCGAATTATGTCTACTTCGCGCCAATACAAGCAATAAAAAACATCACAAAATTTATTTTGTATTTTATATCACTATTTATCGAGATAATCTTTTTTTTTTCTTATTAATCCGTTTTTTATTTCCTCTCCTACTTGTCAAATTCGCTCGCAGAGCTCGTATGACGTCACACGACAATTGTTCGGCAACTCTGCGATAATCCATTAATTTCTCGAGAAAATTTTTAATGTAGAAGCGTTAATCGATCATTTTTAATCCAGTTGCGTTATGTATTTTTACAGAACGTTTTTCCACCGTTCCACGTGCCTTTCGAGTTCTCCGTGTGAAGAGGAAAAACCGTGATAGAAATAAATTTTCCAGAATTCTGAAATAGGACAACGAACTGATAAATAACCGCGTAAAGTTGACTGTTGCTCCGTATCCTGCCGTAAAGGATGTGACAATCACATTGATTACGCGTTGTCCGCAGTTACTTCTCTCTAATTTTCTTCTTCTAGCGAGGAAAAAGATGAAGCGTTACACATAAAAAAAAAAATACATACTCTACGCAAATAATAATTACTTGATCGAATTTTCCAAAAGTTTATATATCCGCATATCATCATAAGTTTATCAAATTATTATACATTAAATTTATTCAAAATATCTTCGGAATTATTCAAAAGAAAATCAATTCTTATATTGAATTACGTACATCAATGAGATTTTATAAAATTTGTAATAAATATATTTTATGATTATTATTAAAAAGTATTCTTTATCAAAAATAATCGTTACTTAAAAGGAAGAAATTGAGTAATCACTTCTTTTAGCAACAGAATATTTTTTCTGTGAGTAAGAATAATTAATAAATTTTCCTAAATTTATTCATACAAAAGAAATTATACATGACTTATTGAGAATTATCTATTTTACAAATTTTATAAAATTATTTATCCTACTGGCTACTAATTAAAAATGTATTATCATTTGTCCCTATTTTCATAAACAGGCCTATATTTTGCGCCATAAAATGGATGCGTAAATGGTTGATATAATTATGCGTATCTATCTCTTTTTATCAGGGTTCATCTCTTCGTCGACACCTTTCCCTTCATACAAATTTGTGCCGGTCTAAAGACTCTCATAACTCATGCACACGCATCGGCGTGAATTCATATATGAACCGCTTCATTACGTTCATTATGCACTCGATCGATTGCGCACGTTATTTAGGTTCGACACATGTGGCGTTGTAAGGACACCAAAGAAAGATAAACAACAGCAAGAATATGTGAATACTGCGACTCTTCTCGCTTGTTAATTCTCAGTTTTTTTAACGTGTGTAAATATAATACACGTGGGATAATCAATGATTTATATCAACTTTTAAAGACGTTTAGAAAAATTGTATTAAAAAAAAAAGATAAAATATTATTAATTCTACATTCAACATTAATTATTAATTTTACTTTCCTTATTTGGTAGATAAAAATTTAGAGCATGTTTACGAAGAAAAGGGGGTAAACAGAGGGAAATGAATTTTCTCGTTCCTTTCAGTCGACACGCAAACTTAAATTGTCGCGAGAGTATATTGACCTCAGTGTCATCAGGGCGGGTCTTAACACAAATTAGGAAATATGACTCCAGCTTGCACGCGTGTTTTAATTAAGCAATTGCCATATCCCATAACGTAATGAGTCATTCGGTGGATACCTTCGCTTTCGTCAATATTTATTCATAATCTAGAGAACCTTAACTTACAGTTTTATAAAAGTAATTTTTAGTTTAGCAGTTTAGAAACTTTTTGCTTTTTATGTGGAAATAGAAACTAATAAATTATTGACAATTTTATTAAAAATTAATTTACCTGAGACGCAACAGAACAGACAAAAATTTTGCCTTATTTTCATTAAATCTAGCCTTATTTTCTTGATCGCCGTTAAAATAATGCGAAATGATGATACAAAAAAAAAATTGATGCGTGTACAACAATTGAATAAAATCAGGATGATATAATACGAAAATTACTTTCAGTATTAATAATAAGAAGAGATTAAGTTAATTACATTTAGCACAAGATATATCCATATCAGAACATATCAGAAATTGTATTTGTAATCAGTCTTACTGTACAGCTGTACAAGCAATAATTTTCGGACGAAATTATCCGAATATGAATGGGCCGCGATAATGATTATCGCGACATACTATCAATCCTTGCCGTTGCTATTCAGGCAGATCATACAGTCAGAGAGTCGGCCGGACGGCGCGTTTGATAATGACCATACTCGATAAGAAATACCAGCAAATTCCGCTAACCCGTACAGCCCTCGCGAATGAATGTACACGTCTTATTGAAAGGAACGTTTGCGGGTTCTGGCTTATCAATTCGCTTGAATAAAAAGATAAATCTCAAGGCGTGATATCTAGATGAGAGGCGAGGAAAACCTGATTCGTTTTAAAAGAAATCAAACAACACTGAGATTTCAAATTTGTTACAATTTGCTTGATTATACGAAAGGATCATTTCAAATAACTGATGAGCGAGATACAATCTTCACCGTTGTTTTATACAGAAGATGTTTCCGAGTTAATACGTTTGTAAAAAACGCTTACGCTTAATAATTTTAATTCTCCATCAATTTGTGTCTGATGAGACTTGCATGTAATAGCTAATTAACCACACACAAAATATTGAAAATTTAGCTATTTACCTCGCATATAATTTGTGAGACGATATAATTATTAGTTTAACAGTGATGAAAAATAAAGTAATCGTTTCTTATTTCATTGGTATGCACGATACGACGTATAACTTGAGGGATAGCCTTGATGCCATACAGTGGCCGGAAGCGTCTGTTGTTTTCTTTTCAGTTTAAGGAGTGACGGAATCACTGCACCATCGAGTAGTCCGTCAAACAGATGACAAAAAATGGGATTGTACTGAAAATAAACTTATTTAAAAAATTCATTCTCTTTTAAAAAATATGAAAGGAATGCGAATAAAGTTGATAACGTTTAAATGATGTAATTACGCTTTTATAGGATCAACAATGTTTATGTAACGCTGACGCGAGTTATTAAAGTTATGTAATTTAGTACGCTTTTATTTTATAGGGAAAATAAAGATGACGTCTCGAAACAAACCAATTAAAATAAAAATTACGACCGTTGGCGATGGTATGGTTGGAAAAACATGTATGCTCATCACGTACACAAAGAAGGAATTCCCAACGGAATATGTACCTACCGTGTAAATATCGTAATGCATAACTTAGTTAATGCAGCAGCTCTTTGCTAGTAGAGTATATATTCTAGATCTGTTTGTTTATATAAGTATGCTTTTGTCTCATTTCTTCTCCTGCGTTATATTAAAGATGTGTTAGAGCTTTTAAAATATTTAATATAATATTTATTTGTTCAGTAGAACTGTAATCTATTATTTCATTTATTCGGTTATTATTTACAGTTTTGATAACTACGTTGACAGCATATGCGTGGGTGGACAGCAATTCGAAATGACATTGTGGGACTCAGCTGGTCAAGAAGATTACGAGAGGCTTAGACCGTTATCGTACCCAAACGTACGTGATAACTCTCCTGATGAAAACTTTCTCATCATTTTCTTTTTTTTTTTTTTTTATATTAATTAGGATTTGTTTCAAAAATACCGAAGAAGTCTACATCTTTTCTTAGAATTTGTCATATATATTAATTCTGAAATATTCTAAGATTTTTCATTCTGTCATTTCTGAAAAAATACTTTAAACTTTTTCAGATTTCATCAAAAATTATAGAATGAGAGATTTTCAAAAGTTCTAAAAATAATAATAAATTATATATATATAATTCTAAAAAATTTTGAAATTTACACAAATATTCTGAAAAATTTTCATCATCTATTTTCCAATAATAAAATCGACTTATTTTTTTTTAATATTCTAAAAAAATATATATATATCTTTAGATATTCGTGCATATATAATCTTGCATTTATTCTTCGTTTGCAGACTGATTGTTTCCTGGTTTGTTTTTCTGTAAGTGCTCGTAGTTCTTTCGAAAATGTAGCGAGTAAATGGCATCCAGAACTCAAAGCGCATTGTCCCAATGTGCCAATTGTACTTGTGGGTAAGTGCATTTTATATATATTAAACAGAAATAAAAAATTTTTTATGTGAAACAATTATGAAGAAACAGGAATACAAATGCTTGCGCAGTAATTTTCTTTTTGATCGCTTAGAACTGGTTTTTCATTATCTGATCAACTTTATGATAATGTAAAAATTGTTTTTCTAACTATAATTAATCACTAATGATTTTGTAGAGATAACTACAAACTTATTCACTACAAAATCATCAGTTTAATGATTAACCATAGACTGTGTTCGCAACTTTGCACTGTTATGAAATTCTTTAATATGGATAGTTTACACATTCAGTAAGGTACTAAGGGCAAGATTAATTACCTTAACGAATGTTACCATAATTGCAAAGCTGCTTTCTCTGCTGAATGCAGCCATTGATAGAAAAATGTAATTCTTATGTTATCAAGTTAAGCCCAACTACATTAACCAATAAAGCCATTAATCTTTTTAAATATTTTTTACTTCTCTTGTAATTTTTTTTAAATATAAATATATATTTTGCATAAATTTATTTACGTTATAAAATTGTTTTTCACACAAATATTTTTTTATATTAGGAACCAAGGCAGATCTTAGAAATCATCAAGAAGCTATGGAAATTATTAGTCCCCGAGATTGTAACAAAATGAGAAGAAAGATAAAGGCAGTCAAGTACGTCGAATGTTCCGCAATAAAACAGGAGGGTCTTGAAGAGGTTTTTGTGGAAGCTATTAAAGCCGTACTGAAAAAACCGCGATCGAGAAAGCTCTGTTGCATTCTTTGAAACTAATGCATTTTAATGCAATTAATGCATCAGTTTAAAAAACACATCTGACGATTATAATTACTAACACCTATGTTAAACCAAAGATTTTCTTCTCATCTTTTGTTCACGTGCTTTTTTTCTTGTACATTTTATCCTTAACGATATTTCTAAGATATATTTTACTTTTTTTGTATAGATAAAATTCTCTTGCGTCGTGTAAATAT